TGTGGGGGAAGCAGGAGTCTATGGGCCGGGGGTTTTTAAGCCATATACTCCATCAAGAGTGTTTGCAAAAAATAAAGGGAAAACTGTCAAATAGGTCCTCGAACTTCCATAAAAAGGTCAAATAAGTCCTTATATAGGAGGCTCTGTCCCGCCATCGCGATTTGGGGCGGTTCCCGATATGAGTAAACTAGACTTGATGAATAAGATGCTCAAAAATGTTCATCAAAAAAATCCATCAGGAACCGTCCCAAATCACGATGGCCGGACAAAGCCTCCTATATAAGGACTTATTTGACCTTTTTATGAAAGTTCGAGGACCTATTTGACAGTTTTCCCAAAAATAAAAGAAGTGTTTTTCATCTTTTGGCTTAAAAAGGGCTTAAAATATTTGCTATAAATAAATCAAATTAAAAATTATATGTAAAAATAATTAGGCTAAATGGTCAAATTGGTACATGAACTAACTTAAAGTGTTCAATTAGCCCCTTATATAGGAGGTTCTGCCCGGCCGTTGCCAATTGGGGCGGTTCCCGGTAGAATTTTTTGATGATTTTTTTTGAGAATCTTCTTCATTAAGTCTAGTTTATCCATACCAAATTTCAGCTAAAAATTCAACCAGGAAGGCAGTCAAATGATTTTTTGAAGATAACTGTGCAGTTAAACTACGCAGTACATTTTGGAAAATCATTTGACTTCCTTCCCGATTTAATTTTTATTTGAAATTTGATATGGGTAAACTAGACTTAATGAAGAAGATGCTCAAAAAAATTCATCAAAAAATTCAGCCGGGAACCGCCCCAATTGGCGACGGCCGGACAGAACCTCCTATATAAGGGGCTAATTGAACACTTTAAGTTAGTTCATGTACCTATTTGATCCTTTAGCCAAATAATTAAAATGATTCCCTAACAATAACTTCAACCAATAGAGCAAAAAACGTGACTTCAACCTTACTGTTTTTTACTACTTATTGCACAATTTATCCCGTGAAAACAAAAATTGCATTTTTTGGTGAAAATACTGACTATAAGCCGAAAAAAAATGTCACGATAAATAAATTAGGCTTTACTACCTCCGTCCCTTAAAACTTTGCCAAGTTTGACCGGCACGGGGATTAATAAAGTAAAAACTGTGTGGTTGAGATTTGTGCAGAGGAGAGAGAATTAACAGAAACCACAAATTCTTTACTTAAAAGGGAAAATGGCAAAGTTAGTGGGAGATCCAAAAAAGGAAAGTTGACAAAGTTTTAAGGGGACGGAGGGAGTAATTAAGATCTCATTGGCCAATATTAGGCTAACCCTGGTCTACACAAAATTACAAGACCTAAGTTTTCTGCTTGCATTTCCAAGACCGATATAACTCTTCAGTCCAATCATCGTTTAGTGGCAATAAATGGGCATTTAAAAAGCTGTTGAATTGCTGCATACGGAGTATAATGGTTATTCAAAAATATATTTGTATCCATTCTTATACCCACTTTTGTACCTATCTATGTTTGTGAAGTGTTTTTTTTTTCTATGAACCCCGGTTCACAGACAATAATTTGCTCAAACAAAATATTGTCTATGAACCGGGTTCACAGACAAAAAAACCTCTACAAACATAGTGAGTATAAGGTGGTATAAGAGTGGATACATCAAACATTGTTGATGACTATTACCCTGCCGGCGTGCACACCATGAACCCACCCCCATCAGATTACTCAATAAATGCATTGTACTTTTGGTCAGCCTATTTCAAAGATCTCCTAAAGCCGACCTGTATTGACCCGCTGCTTTGAGCGGGAAAATGGTCATTTTTGTCTTATTTTTCTACTATTTTCATTAGAAGATTCTCACTTTCTTTTTTTGGACGTCCGTTAAAATGTTCTCATTTCTATTTTAGAAAATAATTAACAATCTTAAGTGACAAATTAGTCATTAAATATTTCAAATAATACATTTATAACATCACAATTATCAATACTAACACATTTTAATATATACCTATTAAAATTATTTCTCAAAATATACCCGAAATACTTTATTTAATTATCAACTAAATAACCGTATCGTTTTGTTATGAGAACCTTCTAGCGGGACGGAGGTAGTAGTAACTTAAAAACTTAAGACTTTTTAGACCCAAATAAAATAGGATTATCATAATAAAAAGTACGGAGTAGATGAGTTTTTGACCAGAAGTGGTTCTTTTTTTTTCTCTTCTCAATCATATCCGACTCATTGAACTTGTAAAAAGTTTATTTCCGTTTGTGTATTTGGGATGCAATCGTGAGTATGAATAGTAGGTTGTTCTAGTGCTAATTTGATATTGAGCCATGTTTGGAAATGATTAAAGAACTCTTTTTAGTGCTGACAACTTATAGTGTTTCTAGTGCTCCTTATTAGGGAAGTAACTGGTTTGCTAGGTGGTGTTTATTAGGGAGGAATATGGGCAATGTTTTTGGTCTATACAAGAATAGTGTACTGTGTAAGCTCTTAAACATGATGCCTAAGCAATTTTTGTCTTTGTATTGCTTAAGCTATGAGGGGATGCCCTTTGGATTTGGATGTTGTATATATTTTGCAGTTATTTATATATTTATCTTTCATAAAAAAAAATTAAATGAGAAGTGATTCTTTTTTTCTCTTCTCAACCATATCCGACTCATTTATATACTACGTACTCCGTACATGATATCTATTTAAATAAAAACAATGAGTACTACGTATTACGGTACGTAGTACTCCCTCCGTCCCAAAATTAACTTCTCGTTCGGTTTACGATGCTTGACTGACGATAAAGCAACTCGATCCCTGCTCACACTCGGATTATTTTTAGTAAATAAAATTTACATATTCAGAAACTACATTAAAACCGCTACAAAGCCTGATCAATAAAATTTAAATTTGATAAAAATTTGATATAAAAAGTAAAAGATTACGAGTGATTCAAGTTGACCAATGAATAGTGAGTGGGAAGTTGTTTTTGGGACGGAGGGAGTACTATTTAGGGAGTAGTGTTTGAGCCTACTTTTCATTAAAAAAAAACTTGTTGCGTTTTCCGGACGTAAAAACATGCTCTCTCCGTATATGTTTAGTTGTCACGCTTTTCTTTTTTGATGTATCAAATTAATTGCCTCCTTCCTTTTTGGATCACTCAAAACGTAGCTTCAGTGCATGTTTGACAGACATAAGTCTCTCTACCTTCTAGGTTTTCTATTGTTTAAAAAGTCTTTAAAAACTTTTAGTTATATGTTTGGCATGACAAATTTTAAGAGTTTAAAAAAAAGATCTTTCTCGATATGCTATGGGGAGTAACATCTGAGAAAAGTCCGTGACTTTTAGTATTAATTTATCCTAACAGCTTGCATACTAAACATAACTTAATCAAACAGTCGGCTTTTTACCAAACAGCTCTCACCTTTTCTTTTTAGTCACTGAAAGCTAACAGTTACAAAAAAGCTCACAAAAGTGTCTTTTCAGCTAGTCGTGCCAAACATACCCTCCGTATCGCTACAGTGCCAAAAACCTCCTATTTTTTAATAGTCTAGAGTAATTGTCTTAAACTCTGTAATAAGCAATTAAGACATCTAATTAGATACGGAGGGAGTATATTGAAGTGTTTGAAAGAAAGTATAGAAATAAAGTTCTTCAAATTATTCCTAAAATAACTTTTCACAAAATTGGGGGAGATAACTTCCATTTTTTTTTTATAAAGAAACACAATCAATTATAAAGATATACGGAGTAGTATTCAAGGGGTAAATCCACACAATATTACATCCGCCCCCAAAAAACTTTGCAACTTCATAAATTGGAATTAAGATTTTGATTAGTATAATATTATGAAAGTTATAAATTTTATACTTTTATTAAAGTGCATTTAACAAAGAACATTTTCATATAAATTTTTATATTATAAATAATTTCTGATTCAATAAAAATATGTAGTTGATCAAAATTTTGAAATTGAATTTTTTTCTCAATAAAGATAGTATAAACTATATGTATCAATCCATCCGATGCATAACCTTATCTTCTTCGAGAACAATTTTGTTCACCACTTCAAAAGAGGGTGAACATCACCCCCACCCTCCAATGCTGCCACATGGCATAGTTATTGTTTTTCAATTTTGCAATTGTTATAACTTTTTCATTTTTTCCCATCATTTGCAATGGAGTCAAAGATTCATTATTTTTTTGGCTTGAAAATATGATGGAATAAAGCAAAATGGCTCATCAAATTGTTTGCGCTTCTTTGTTATGAAGCAACAGTCAGTCAATGCAATTTTTGGACGCGATTTTCATTATGGGTCATACGGAAATAGTCTCTCTGTGCTTTAGTACAGGGGTAAGACTGCGTACATCCGACCCCCTCTTACCCCACCATAGGTGGGAGCCTTTGCGGCACTGGGGTAAATGATGATTGAAATGATGATTGATAACTTTTTCATTTTTGTTTTAATTCTTTAAAAAAAGATGCAATTAGTTTTAACTTTTTAATGATCTTTCATATGATATTTAAAAAGTTTGAAACAAAAAATCGGCTAAAAATAAATTTAAGAAAAACTAAAGTTTTTTTCAACTTTTTTATTAGCAATATGAATACCATTAGAAATATTATAGAAAATTACAGTATTTATTTTTGTGAAAATTTAATTATAAATAAAAAATAATCATCCTTCATTTTCCAGCTCATCTATCGAACCCATCTGGGCCGCACGTTCCGCAATAGATCTGCGGTTTTTATTGATTTATTTATTTATTTATTTATTTATTTGTTTGTTTGTTTGTTTGTTTGTTTGTTTGTTTGTTTGTTTTATCACACCTTCACTCAAATTATTACCACCGCAGACCAGTGGCAGAGCCAGGATGTAATGTCAGTGGTGTGAATTAAGCATAACTAATATTATATAAAAATGTGTACATATATACTCCCTTCATTCTTTATTATTAGTCCCCTTAGGGTTTGACACGAGTTTTAATAATAAAGTAGTAGGGTAAGTATAGAGTGTGTAGGGTAATTGATAAAGTAGGAAATATGATATATTAAAAAGAGTAAAGTGATGATAAAGTAGGAAAGAGATTGTAGTTTGTAAAAAGTAAGTGAATTAAAAGTAATAAAAGTGGGGGTATTTTCTCAAAAACATTCCTTAAAGGGAAAGGAGACAAATAAAAAAACGTCCCAAAAAGGAAAGAAGGACTAATAAAAAAGAACGGTGGGAGTATGTATATATATATATATATATATATATTTTTAACAAAAAATAACTTTATTAAAAACACGCAAAAGAAAATACATGAAAAGGGAAAAAGGAAAAGAAACAATGGGAGCAAAAAAAGGAAACCTATCCATTATCACCCAACCCAAAACATAACCAAGTCAGTAGCTCTAAACCACCCCCACCAGCTATCTCTCCCCAAATAATTTTTAGTCTTCAACCAAGTCTTCATAGCTCCACTCGTGTTTGAGATCGAGTCCTCATAATATGCGAACGCTGATTCTTCTTTTTATACATTCTTTTTTGTGTGTTCAAATTCTGAGTGGGCAAACAATTTTCCTGTGTAACCAATAAAGCTTTTTGACAAAGAACCCCATTTGAATCGGAGTCCCAAAGGTCCTCCACCGTTGAGATGGGAACTCTCTTCTCGTTCTCTGAAACATGACCATTAAATTCATCCCCGGATAATGCAAAGCCCGAACTATCATAGGCTCCCCCACATTCAAAAGTTGCAGTAAAGTTATCCGTAATATCTGGAAATTCCCAACCAGGATGAGTATGGCTATTCCGAAAGCCGTCACTTGACTCTAAAAATCCCGTCCTCTTCTGGTCAGCTTGCTCCGAAGCAATCTTTGTATTAGAGGAATTTCCGTTATCAGGAGATGTCAAAATCAGATTACCCAATGCAGAAGTAAGGATTCTCTCAAATTCCAAAAGCAGGAAATGAGAAAGTGAGTCCACCCCATTTGTCAAAGTAGCCTGAAAGAAATCCTTAAGATTTGCACATATAACAGTTTCAGAGTTTCGTTCATGGTCATCAACTGAAACCAATTCCATAGAGTGGTTGAAAGAATCAAGATACTCAATATCAGCATGTAGTAGTGCCCCCGAAATGGAAATATCAGTTTCAAAGGATTGATGATAGGACCCATCAAAAGGTAGAGGATACAAATCAGTAAGAGAACCCGCAGTATCTGAAATGACCTTACCTACATGTTCAATCTCCGTTTTTTTTAGAAGAGAATCATTCATCAAAGTAATTGCTCGAGTAATTCCTCCCAGAAAAATGTTGAACCCTTGTCCATTTCGTCCCTCAGGAATAAACAAAGAAGCACATCCCTTCTCAATAATTCGAATAAATCCTCCAAAGAAATTAGCATCGTACAAAATGATAAAGCAATTACTCAGCTCTAGTCTAGTACGACGCCTATTACCCGAAGACAACTCAACAATAGAATCCTTCAACCAATTAGCCCTAATAAGATCTAAATCCATGACAGATGTATATATATATATATATATATATATATATATATATTTTGGTTCAAGTGAGAAATGCATCTAATGTGAGAAATGAGAATGAATCTCAGCCATTAGATTTGCGAAGTTGCACTAAAATGATTTGATGTTGCAGTGATATTTAAATTTTGCACATGTTGCTCTAAAACTGATTCATGTTGCACTAATATTTGACGGCGTTGCACCGAAATAGCTTCATGTTGCACTAGACACGTGTAATACGAATTTTTTAGAAGTATTTACAGAAATGTCATCGTGCTAGATTGCATATTTCAGTGCATCATCAAGTGTCTTTTACTGCAACTTAGTCGAATTCAATGGCTGAGATTCATTCTCATTTCTCACCTAAAGGGTTCTTCTCACTTGAACCTTACCCTATATATATATATATATAGAGAGAGAGAGAGAAATGCTCAGGTCCCTCCGGAGGGACGGGAGCAGCCGTCCGAACTTCACTGTTTGGGGCGGTTCCCGGTGGAATTTTTCGATGAAATTTTTTGAGCATGTTCCTCACCAAGTCTAGTTTGTCCATACCAAATTTCAGCTCAAAATTCGACCGGGAAGGCAGTCAAATAAATTCTTGAAGCTTACTGCACATTCTGCGCATATTTAAAGTGCAGTAAGTTTCAAGAATTTATTTGACTGCCTTCCTGGTCGAATTTTGAGCTGAAATTTGGTATCGACAAACTAGACTTGATGAAGAACATGCTCAAAAAATTTCATCAAAAAATTCCACCAGGAACCGCCCCAAACGGAGGAGTTCGGACGGCGCCTCCCGTCCCTCCGGCTGGACCTGATCACTTCTCTCTCTCTCTCTCTCTCTCTCTCTCTATATATATATATATATATATATATATATATATATATAGTGGTCTTCTTGTCAGGCCGGCCTGACGGGATGCTCCGTCCGGCCGAGCCCGTTTGGGCACCTTCCCGGTGGAATTTTTTAATGAAAATTTTTGAGCATGTTCCTCATCAAGTCTAGTTTGTCCATACCAAATTTCAGCTCAAAATTCGATCGGGAAGGCATTCAAATCATTTTTGAAGTTGACTGCGTCAAAATATACATATAAAACTGCAGTCAAATTCAAAAAATGATTTGAATGCCTTCCCGATTGAATTTTGAGCTGAAATTTGGTATGAACAAACTAGACTTGATGAGGAACATGCTCAAAAAACTTCATCAAAAAATTCCACTGGGAAGGTGCCCAAACGGACTCGGCCGGACGGAGCATCCCGTCAGGCCGGCCTGACATGAAGATTTGTCTATATATATATATATATATATATATATATATATATATATATATATATATATATAGGGGTGAGATCACATACTAACCATTCCTCCCATGCTAACCTACAAACTATAAAAAACGGTGCATCTTTACATTATTTGTACTGCATATTGAAGTTCAAAGTGTTGCATATTATTTGTACTGCATATTAAAGTTCAAAGTTTTGCATATTGTTTTTATTGCATATTGAAATTCAAAGTGTGCATCTTTACATTATTTGTACTGCATATTGAAGTTTAATGTGTTGCATATTATTGAGTTAGTAAGTTAGTATTTTAAGCATGGTTAGTATTTTAAGTTACTCATATATATATATATATATATATATATATATATATATATATATATATATATATATATGAGTAATGTTCTTGTCCAGCCGGCCTGACGGGAACCGCCGTCCGGCCGAGGGAATTTCGGGCACTTCCTGATGGAATTTTTTGATGAATTTTTTTGAGCTACCAAATTTTCAGCTCAAAATTCGATCGGGAAGACATTCAAATAATTTTGTTCAGTTAACTGGGCAGTTTATATGTATGAATTATAGAACTGCCCAGTTAACTTCAAAAAATTATTTGAGTGCCTTCCCAATTGAATTTTTAACTGAAATTGGGTATGGGTAAACTAGACTTCATGAAGAATATGTTCAAAAAATTTCATCAAAAAATTCCACCGGGAAGTGCCCGAAATGCCCTCGGCTGGACGGAGCATCCCGTCAGGCCGGCCTGACATGAAGACTACTCTGTATATATATATATACACACACACACACACACACACATATATAGGGAACTCTTCCGGTAAGGTATACCTTACCGGAGCCTCCGTGCGGCCTCCACGTTTTGAGGGCCTTCCCGGTGGAATTTTTCGATGAAATTGTTTGAGCATGTTCTTTATCAAGTCTAGTACATCCATACCAAATTTCAGCAAAAAATTCAATCGGGAAGGCAGTCAAATGTTTTTTGGAAGATAACTGCACCCTTTATATACATATAAAACGCAGTTATCTTCCAAAAACTGTTTGGCTGCCTTCCCGATTGAATTTTTTGCTGAAATTTGGTATGGATGTACTAGACTTGATGAAGAATATGTTCAAAAAATTTCATCGAAAAATTCCACCGGGAAGGCCCTCAAAACGTGGAGGCCGCACGGCGACTCCGGTGAGGTATACCTTACCGGAAAGATTTCCTATATATATATATATATAGACAAATATTCCTGTCCGGACGTCCGGACAGGAACCGCCGTCCGGACCGCGGCGGTTGGCCGCCTTCCCGGTGGAATTTTTTGATGAAATTTTTATGGCATGTTCTCCATCAAGTCTAGTTTATCCACACAAAAATTCAGCTAAAAAATCAATCGGGAAGGTCGTCAAATGATTTTTGCAAGTTAACTGGTCCGGAATATGTATTTTCCGGACCAGTTAACTTGCAAAAATCATTTGACAACCTTCCCGATTGATTTTTTGGGTGAATGTTTTTGTGGATAAACTAGACTGGATGGAGAACATGCCATAAAAATTTCATCAAAAAAAGCCACCGGGAAGGCGGCCAAACGCCTTGGTCCGGACGGCGGTTCCGGTCAGGAGCTCCTGACCGGATCATTACTCTCTCTCTCTCTCTATATATATATATATATATATATATATATATATATGAGGGCTGCTCTCCTCCGAACTACCGGAGGAAAATGTTGTCCGACCTTTTTGTAAATAGAACTCTAGCCTTGGATTTAACTTATAGGAACGGCCAAGATTAGTTTAGTACTTCAGTGTCTCCCATGCTGTTGACTTGAGATTATTTCTCGGTATTCAAGATACTTTTGAATTGAATGATTGCTTCCACTCACTTTGTTTTTTTTTTGTACTTTTAATTTAAAAATGGCTAAGGTCTCAATTACGTAGTACTAAATACGGATGTTTAATTTATTACAAGTATTACTCGAAAAGCATTAATATTAAATGAAAAATGTAAAAGTGGTTTTAAATTTTTGTAACATTGTCAATTAAAAAAAATAATAAAAATATAGAATACTATTTATATAAATAATAGTAATTCAGGAATAATAGTAAATCAATAGTAAAGCTGAACATAATTAAAGTGATTATGGCAATTCCAATTCATCAACATAATTCACAATTAGGCCTTATGCAACAGTTAATAAATATTAAATAACGTATGAATCAAAGTATTCACTTTCTGAGACTCATATCAAGGTAAACATCAAAACCATCTTTCAATCACCATGCCAAATAGCCAAAAGCATGTTAAACAAGTTTTATACTTGAAGCTTCAAATCTAGGTTTGATGTCAATAAACTATGACAATAAAAGTGATGCAGACTAAGACAAGAAGCAATATCATATAACACCAGCACAAGGTACAGAGTATTTCACCCACCAAAACAAGGTAGAAAGTAGTATTTCAGAATGACAAAAAGTTACATCTTTAGCTCCTCCATAAAATACACAACGAAACCAGTAGAGACATCTTGAGAGAAGTATGTTAAGAGTTTTGAGCTTTGTTCAGAACTTGTGCTTCTTTACACTTCCTGCAAAATCCAAAATAATATTATTAGTTGTACTAACACATAATAAAGATGACATAAGGAGAATGCTGAGTATGTAATACATACCCACTTGCAAACTTGGGACAATTGCGCTTATCATGACCGTTTCCTTTACAAACGCTACATATTCTATTGAGAGATGTCGCCTTTTCTATTGACGATTTTAGTCGTTTACCACAACCTTTATGCCTTGCATGATCCGGTTCAACAAATTCTAAAGACTCTGGAGGGTCGTGATGATGCTTTTTTGCACTTTGGTTAGAGGTATTCTTTGAAAGGTGGTCTTTAAATTTCAACCGCCACTCTTCAAGAAGGTGGAGACCAACTTCTTGATCCTCTATAGACTCGGAAGACAACTCATAAAACCCGCTAAGAAAAGCATCAAGTGCTTTCCCGTTTCTCCCTACCAAAGCCTTTATATGATCTTCACAAATCTCAATGCCGTATGCATCTAGTACAATTCCCCTACGTGAGCCCTTCTTCCATCTATCCAAAATGTAGTAATCAGGGAGTTCATTTATGTTTAACATATCAAAAACTCTCAGTATGTGAGCACACAGGATCCCTTCAAACTCAAATTTACTACATGAACAAAATGCAATGTTGGTTTCACTATTAAAAGTAACACTCCTAGGTCTTTTGAGCGCGGTGTCAAGTGATATGCCTCGGTATGATAACATGTAGATTGTATTATCACCGTGACAATGAGTCCTCTCAATCCCATATGTGAGACACTTATGGAGCTCATTTTGGAACTCCCGAAACATGACCTTTGTGTATGCATTCGCAACCTGGATCTCAGAAGCTGTCCCAAATAGAAATTTTGGTCTGCCATTTTTATCTTCATGGTCTGATGTATTCTCTGTCTCTCTTTGTCGAGAAAGTGCTCTATCCAATCTAGTGACAAACTCATTAAAACTGCAACCTTTGTACACAAACTTTTTCAAGAATGAATGGGTAGATTCACTTTGCTGAGATGATGACATTCTGGCAGAGAAAATACTCTTCACATATGTAGGAACCCAAACTCCCCGAACTGCAAACATGTAGTTCAACCACCCATGGTCTTCTAACTCAT